TCTTAAAAATTCAATACAGTTCCTTATAGTTTTTTGATCTTCATGAATGTATCATGTGTGTATATAGAAGTGCTTATGAGAATACTATACAGACTGAGTCCACTTTCTTATTTACCTCTTATTTACATAACCATACATATTTTTTACATTTTTATAACGTGCATATCTGAGGCAATAGATCACCAGATCTATAGTTAGCTCTAAGCAAGTTGGCAGAAAGCATAGCAATAAAACAAGATCTTGTGGAAGATACATTTCTATTTCAAAGGTTTTATTTGGTCTTCAAGGTAAGTACAACATAAGAGACAGCATAGTACAATCCAAAAAGACACATAAATAGGTGAGAATACATAGTAATTACATTGCTCTATGAGGAATTATAGAATACAATGCCTAGATAGTACATCATAAGCAAAACATACATTTTCTTAACTCTAGAAACCATAAGCCAGTGTTACCCAGCTTACCGCGTAGTCTGGAACATGGTAGATAGACTGCTTAAAAGAAAACTAGATGAAGCCTGAAGCAGAGGGAAACAATAGTCCACAATTTGCTTCCTCTACAAGCTGAAGGTCATCAGTAGGGTGAGAATACTATTTGAAAGTATAACTGACTAGCTAAAAGGGAGCAATTTTATTTAAATGGACCCTGTCCTACCTGTCCTATAGCAAAACAAGAAAACGCTGAATTAGTATATAGCACATGGGTTAGGGAATTGCTTCCCCTTTTACCCAGGAAAAGGGATGAGAGACAGCCGAGACATGCTCTAAATTAAAGTGCATATAAACCCAAAAACAAAAAATGAATATATTGCAGTTTACCAGGCCTTAGATGTGGTGGCTGCTTTAGTTTTCATTTTGCAGACTTTTTCCTTTATGTTTACCTGGTAACACACTTCCTGTCCCTAGGTGACTACACTATGTCTATGGAGGGAGCCATGGTTTTCACACAGGCTAAACTTCAAATATGTCTGCCTTTGTTCATCTTCATTACCTAAGAATGATGGGATTAGCAGTTTACACAAATAATATAGCATTGTTTTATGTTTCCATGTCAGCTCACAGGAAGTGACAAGGACACGGCATTCCTGGCAAGATCAACAGGTATTTTCTTTACTTGCTGAAAATGTTCTTAGCCTGATAAATTAAAACGAATGCAGCCACCACATCTAAGCACTGGTATGCTGGAATAAATTACATTTGTTCTTTTGAATTTAGTTATGCCTTTAGAACATTATCATAATAAAAATATGCCTGTACACATAAAATATGTACAGAATTTACTTGGGATGCACCGACACCAAGTACAGTACTCGGTACATGTACAAGTACAGATACTTTTTCAGCCCCAGGACTAGAGAAAAATTCAAAAGTTAGAAGGCAGCTGTCATTTTTAAGGAGCACACGAATCTCCTGGGATGTGTGCATATCTGTTTTAATATATGATTTTGTTTTTATAAATATATATTCGTGATGCACCGATACCAGTTTTGCGAGTACGAGTACTGATACTTGCCCAAGTACTCACAGATACAAGTACTGATACTTTTTTGTTTATAGTCATGTGACAGTTTTTCTAAAACAATACAGACTAATGATTTCAGGACAGTGGTGGAGCACAAGAGCCAGGTCCCAGCTACAACCGCTGCAACCCTGGTAGTTCTCGTGAAAATGCCAAGTATCGGCACTGGTACTTTAAAAGTATCGGTGCATCCCTAGAATCTACTAAAGTTTTGTAAACATCACTTACCTCAAGGCCATATAAGATGAAATTGTCATCTCACAAGGCGACAACCTGCTGTCTGCACAGACAAAGGCCCTCATGAAAATCACAAGACACAGGCATTCTCATCAACGTGCACTCTCCAACACAACAATGTTGCCATAAAGCAGCCTTTCTAAACCAGGGTGTTGTGGCACACTGGGGTGCCTTCTGGCTTCCTTAGGGGTGCCTCAACATTTTGTGATGTAGGGCTCTGATGTGACTGGGGGAGAGAATTCTGATGTAAAAGGGGGGCTTTTATGTGAAGGGCAGCTCTTGATTTGAAGGGAGGACTTCAATGCAAAGGATGAAACCCCATTTTTTACAAATCACAACAGAAAGCCATGAATGCTTTTATCTACATTTTGCAGCTCATGAAGAAAGATGCAACATACAGTATGTACCAAGGCTTAAACTGCCATTCCTCCTGACAATAATTAAATATGTTTTAAATGAAATCATTTTTCATCTCTCCTTTTTATCCTAAACTGTTGTGTTATGTTCCTTCTCTATCTTACGGTTATATTGATCACATGTGCTCTGCTTCAATCATTCAAAAGTAGTCATTATGACTGGCTGTACTAGTAAAGTAAGGACCAACAATGTCCCCAAACCACTAAAACTGTCACACACAAAGATTCCTTTCTAGTGATTGCATATGAACTTTGTTACTCAACTCCTTCCCCAATGTTACAGAGGTGGAAACAAAAGGTACAAGCAGATGACACTGAATGAACCATTACCCGAAATGACACCAATGCGACACGGGTGGGGTGGTTATTGCTTTCACAACTCCTCACTGTCCTCAAATCTTAAAAGCTTTGTCATCTTCAAAAAGTTTGTTTCATTTGACCTAATCTTACAACACTAATAAGGATGAGTTCAATCACATTTGATAACCTGATGATGAAATTAATATTAAATAGCAAAGAACACCTGCCATATAATCCAAATTCTGCTTACAAGGCCATTCTGAAATGCTCCATACAATCAACTTTGTACTATAGATAGCCATAATAGATCATGTAATTAGCTAATGCACTATGAGAGCCGAATGTCTTCTTTGTCCCAAAAAATGATCTGAAACATGAAGAATTCTTAAGGCCCCGTTCATATCTGTGCAGTCCAATGCATTAACGTGCTTTACATTAGTGCAGCCCATTCATTTGAATTGGTTGTCAGTGCATCACAAGAGACCAGAACAGACACCTGCACTATTTGTCCCGACAACACACTGTAATGTGTTACTCGGCATTGTGGTGCACTACACCACAAAGGTGTTGGAGGTGTGCTGGGCTGCTATTCAAATTGAATTTCGCCACAATTTACTAATGGGTGCATGGTATAAAGCCAGCATTAGGCTGAAATGGCATCTTTTGCATTGCGATTGAACACACTTTAAAACACTGCCCAAGTAGGATCCTGGCCTTAAAATGACACTCCAGTTTGTTAAAAATGAAGAGAAAAAAACAATCCCCCGTACCTGAATTGTATACATTGCATGAATTTTAGTTAACATATCTGCAGGCTTACCTTTCTGTTCTGAAGAAACTCATGTTTACCTTAGTACCTTTTTTTTTAAATGGACTGATGAATGGGAGGATCTGCCTTTATTATCACCACCTAATCATTCACAGTCTTGTCATAAGTAAAGGAATATTATCTCCTTCCTTCCGCTAGAATGAAATCCGTACTGCACAGGATGCCTCTAATTGAACTAAAAGCTCCATGCAGACTTCTAGGAAAAGCAGGGAGCCATTCACAAAAGAAATTCATTTTTTGGGTTTATTCTGCAAATGAAGGGTGTTCAGAATAAACCCCCATCCCATTTTGCCATATTGTAAGGAAGGGTTTTGTCTTTTGCTGGTATTGTCCCATTGGAGAGACTTTATATCACCTCCTTCCCCAGAAACACAACAGGAAGGAAGAACATATTTCCAAACTGAGGGGACAATCTCTTTTTAGAAAGCGGTCATAGGCACAGCCAACCCCTTTGGAAGATTCCCCATCTATTTCTTGTTGCACCGATAACTGTAAAATCATGGATTTCCCATCACCTTTTGTCCCAAAGACAATGGTCAAAGTAGAAGGTGATATTTCCAAGTGGTGTCAGCATTAAAACCCTGACAGGGGGTTCAGCACTTCCCCACTCTACCCAAAACTAAAAAGGAAAAGTTTGGGCTTTAGATATGTATTTCATTACAAAACGGCCGGTGTCACAATTATGTAACACATCTTTGGCCAAAGAGATTTTCCTTTTTTTTCCACCTATAACCAGTTGGGGTAAAAGTGCAGTAAAAATGTATGCAAATGAAAACAATACAACCGAATATTTGACTAACTGCATAAAGTTACTACACAAAGTTTTTGTTATCCTTTAGAGGTCCTTTTTCTAATAAACAGGCAAAAGTCAACCAACTGTTTCGTTATAGCCAACGTTAGTTTGATGCTGTGTGTAAACGGATGCAGTTTTACTGTCATATGGTTATTATTGTAACAGCTGATCAATGCAGATTAAATAACATGGTTTTGAGTGATAGTAAGCATATTTTCTTGGATGACAAATACAGTTTTGATCTGTTATCCAGAAAACAAGCACAGTTGCTGCCCTCCAGGCACTGACGTTCCTCATGGGCAACAGTGGTGCTTATTTTCTAGATACGCAGGTAGTTATTAAAACATCATTTTTTTTTCATCTTTGATGCAATATTGAAAGCATGCACTGCTACTGTTCACGGAGGACCACAACTGAGAAATGCTGAAAGGTGCACAGACCTGAAACTCTCCAAGCTGTACTGATACGCTCTCAGCACTAACAAGTTACACCACACTTGGGACCCGGTGTAATAAAGATCATTTTTTTGTATTTATACTGTGTTTCCAATACATTCATCTTCATGGCTTGGAATCTATAACTATAGTTATGGGATACTGATCACCTTAATTGGTTAACCCATTTTTTTTTTCTTTTTACAGAACAAATGTTATTTTCATGTAAAATGAAAAGCTGAAATGTAAAATACACCTTTGATGTTCAGGAGAGAAAAGTGCAATGATGATAAATGTTTCTAATACCAGTAGAAATCTTGGTTAACCTTTAAGTGTGACTAACACCACAAATTGTTAAATGGGTATAAATGCAATAGTCTATTTACTTCTACTGCACTAAGACCTGCGGACAATTAAATATTGAAAGGACAAGAAAAAAGGAAACTTTTTTTCCTCCTAGTCCTGCTTACCTTTCGGGTTCATACCCAGCCTGTAGTCTGGTAGCGCTGTATCTCTGAGCAGCCGTCTCATGCCCATGAAGATGCCCACTTTGTACAGGTGAGGAGCCATTAAGCAGCGTACGTCTCTGCGAGGAATGAGTTGGGGAAAGCGGGGAGTCCTTTACATCCCCTACAATGAGTCGATAATCATAAAGTCCTTGTTGAGCATCACCTTCATACCTGTACCCATCCATACCCAGCAAGGTGGTGGGATGTGCCGCTGGGCAAGAATAATTTTAATAGCAAATAGTTCCAGGCAGTCACCAAAACATCCTGTGCAGGCTGCCACAAGTAGTTTGACGAGCAGGTCTGCTCAGTCTTATTATGTGACTGCCCTTTAAGTTTTAAGACAGGTTGCCCTTGGTGCTGAAGTCAAGCAGTGCAGACAGAAGGCTGGCTTCCCTGAGCTGTGCAGTATCTGTCAAAGAGGATCGGAGTATTTAACATCCTGATAGCTGGGGAATTTGCACACTTGCAGATTCCCTGCCCCCTTTCCTCCCTATGTGTGTCTGTCTCCAGGAGCTGTCTCCACCCAGAGGACAGATTGTTGGTGCTTCACCAGGGACTGTGAAGTGCTGTGTCCTTCCTTCTTCTGGGCACCTTTATCAAAGAACCCAGGCTGCCCAGTTACTGCTGATGTGAGCATGCTGTTCTCTCAGTGTGCCTAACAACAGGCAGCCCTGATAAGAAATCTTCAGCGCTGTTGCTTAAAAGTCATTGTACAGCATGGACGCACAGCTGCACATCAGCTGCTTTTCAGTACGTACAAGTCTCACTTTCCTTTCGCTTGTGTAATATCATTCTGGAGTGACTGCATCTTTTTACATATACAGTATGCAGCTTAAGACAAATGCCTAGATTTGAGACATGATTCTTGAATCATGATCAGGTATGTGTACCCATTACAATGCTGATACCATATTATACCAGGATATTATATGCTGGGACTTTAGATCACCGTTAAAGTGACACTAGACTCAGGAGTTAAATCTTAAACATGCATTCAAGTACCTGAACTATTAACAATACTGGACCTTATATCTGTATCACTTGGCTGTAGATCCTCAAATCATCTCTGAATTGGTGCTGACACTGTCCTTCCTTCTGGAGGGTGGCTACTTTTGTTCCCCATGGTTCTTGTGTGTTGTAAAGTAGCCACCGCTCCAAGCTCACTCCCGTGATGGACTACAATCTCAATACAAAAGTAAACAAAACATGAGATTGTAGTCCATCGCAGGAGTGAACTTGGTGCGGTGGCTACTTTACAACACACACAGGGACCATGGGAAACAAAAGTAGCCACCCTCCACAAGGAAGGACAGTGTCAGCACCAATTCAGAGATGATTTGAGGTTCTACAGCTGAGTGATACACAAATAAGATACATTTTTCTTAATAGTTAAGGTACTTGAGTGCATTTTTAAGATTTAATGCCTGAGTTTAGTGTCACTTTAAATGACATTTACAGGTCTTATTTCACCCCCAGCCTGCAAATGTACAGTGAAAGGAGAAGCAGCAGACTGATGAGATCATCTCTCTGTCACTCCGCTCTCATCTCTCCAAATCTGAACTCACTTGCACCAGTGCGAATACCAAGTCAAATTCAGGTACAGGCACTGCTTGTGAATGAATAAATAAATACATTTAAAGTGGTATTAAACTCTCAACTTTTTTTCAATAATGAATCCAGATCAAACGTATATACATTGCCCAGCAAAGTATTTCTTTATACTTTTGCCCAAGCCATCATGTTTCCTAACAGCTCCAATTCTCCCAGCTCATCTTTCCTGAACTTCCTGTCCAGTACAAGATCACAAGGTACAGAGCAGTCTCCAGCAGCTGTCCATCTACCAGCTTGCAGAAGGGAGTGGTTTGCCTTGCAGTGTCTGTGTGTTTGTGGAGACACACACACCGCTTACTAACTTTTTTGCAATGATGAATCCTTATCAAACAAATATACATTGCCCAGCTAAGTATTGCTTTCCTTTTTTACCCAAGCACTTACAGTCATCATGTTTCTGAACAGTTGTCTCCAACTCTCTCAGCTCAGCTTCCCTAAACTTCAGTCTCCAGCAGCTGCCCATCTACTAGCAGGGAGAAGTGTGAAGACACACACAGCTTACTAGCACACAGCAGGGTGGCTCCCTAGGACACTGCAAGGGAAAGGAGCCACCTTAAAACAGGATATCAGGGCCAGTGCATACAGCACTGCAGGAAGATAAAACTGTTAAACACCAAGAAACAACATCCATTGTAAGTGACATAATCAGCTTTTGAAATTGCTTAAAAACATTTTGACTTTAACATAAATTTAAGAATGTATTACAGAATAGAGGGCTGCATCAGTGTGTTTTATTTCTGCCTGGGAGGACTGCATCAACAGCAAAGTCCACAGCTTGAAGCCGATGGGGCTCAGGTGCTGCAAGTGTACACAGATTTTTATACAGGTATGCCCATGTGATTGCTCCTAATTTTCTGTTGTGCAATTATAGAATTTACCACCTGACAGCTTTGTGTGAAGTGTGTGAAGATTTTCAACCTCCACCTCTAAAGGTCTTTGTCTTGCGAGGGTTGTAAAGTAATTAAAAAAACGTACGATTTGCCCCTGAGGGGCGGGCTTCTGATGACTGCAATGCTGAACGGGCAGTGTGCGCGTGCGCACACCGGCCCGTTCGGCAGTCATCTCTCGATCATGTTAAAAACCAGCCGGAAATCGTACGATTCTCGGCTGGTTTTCCAACATGCTGGAAATACAAAAGTCGTGCAAACGCACAGTAGAAACGGTCGCACGCCATACACTGCACGATTATCGCACGATCGCGGAATTTCCCACGATTCTCGTACGAGAATCGTGCAGTGTATGGGCACCTTTAGGCCTTGTTCACACCAAATGCAGAGCAGATCTGCTCAAGTTTCTGCACACGCAGTGCAGTTAGTTGTGCCACATTTTTTGCCGCGTTTTTGATGCGTTCCGGGCCGTTTGTTTGTTTAAAATGGGCTTTCAGTGTGTTCCAGGGTGTTTGCATGCATTTTTTATGCGTTTGCATGCGTTCCAGAGCAGGTAAAATAGGGCCTGCTGCAGTTTTTTTACCTGCTCTGGACCTGCTCTGGAACTGAACACTACGGTGTGAACTAGAGCCCAAAATACCATTGGAATACATTGGACACAGTTTTGATCTGGTCTGTAACTGCTCTGCACCTGGAACGCGCTTGGTGTGAACAAGGCCTTAGTTTAAAGTGTTTGTCTGAGCCGAAAAAAAAACCCCCGAAAAGCTTTGCAATATATCTCTGCAATATATGCATGTTACCTGTCTCTTGCTGCACATACAGGAACATACCTGCTGAACCTGGCAGAATTGCACTCAGCTTCTTATTTTGTGATAACACTATATCTGATGCACTGACAACATAAGTAAAATGTATTCTAGTTCAGCATATGAGAACTAAGCAGGGCTGACAACGCGGCTCTGGATTTCAGTGCAGCAGAAGCAGTGTTGTCAGCTCACTACAGGAAGTTAAGAGTTTACTGGATTTCTTGCAGGATCAACAGGTATTTTTCTGCACTTAAAGGGATTTCAAAGACACAAAACATGGGGAAAATTTGCATGTATTGCAGAAGTGTACTGAATTTGTTTTATATTTTTACCCAGACATACACTTCAATATCCCAGTAAAGCTGGCCGTACCCTGCAGTCACTGTTCTCATATTCTGATAGTAGCACACCTGCCACATTTCGGGGGAAATTCTCACAGGGCTGAACAAGAAAAAACGCACAGTGTATGACCAGCTTCAGCCTCTATTTTTTATCTGTCCCTCATACTGTATTTCACTTATGTTATGAGTTCACATACTCATAAGATTGAAGAAGACAACATTTGTCTTTTTATATTCTGTATACATAAGGGGGATGATTTAGAAATCACGTATGCCGTTCACAGGGCATTCCTGCCACTAGATGGCGCTGAATGGAGTAGAATTCTCCCAGTGTATGGCTAGGCAGATGATTTCTAAAAATTCTCAAGGTGTATTCAGATTCAACATTGAATTTGGTCTAATGCAGAAGTGTACAGTTATAAAAAAAGTTCCTCCTTAGCAATCTTCTGTTTTGCTTTATAAAAGGCTAATATAGTTATGGTTTATATTTCTTAGTTTCTTAGACAGTCTTAGTTAAAGCTGAATTCTGGGCACAAAAACACTAATTTTAGCACTTGCTGTCCATCCGTTGTATATAAATGGATGGACAGACTGCTCCTTCTGAAATGGGGGTGTACATGTACAGCAATGTTTTTTCCTGCTCGTGCACGTTAGGGCGCCACTGTGAACATTTGTTACAGCCAGCAATGGCTGTTACATTCAAGCATTGGTGCGGCTATAGAGCCCCCCGATCTCTTGTATGGTACATGGAAAAGTGCGCCCCGGGCTCTGCTATCCTTCCTGCAGGCCTGGGAGCGGCACAGTGGGTCTGTTCACTTCAGTTGGAGGGAGATCAGCACACTTCCAGCAGCTGATCTCTCCTCTGATCACTGGAAGCGGAAGTGATGTGAATTACATCACTTCCTGTTCCAGTGCGTAATTTCTCTGCTCTAGCCTGAGAAGAAGCTGGTGAAGCAGATCTCTTATTATTATTATTATTATTTTATGACTTAGATGATGATCATATTTTATTTTAGGAGGTTTAAAAGTCTGCATGTTATCTCATTTGAACTAGATAATAAATGTTGCTTTAAAGAACACCTTTCTGTAGGACGACTTGCTAAACTCTTCTTTTGGAAATGCTGGATTGTATGTTATGCTGATCCAAAGTTTTTCAGAAACAGCCGAGTCATTCACGTTGAATACGTATGCTGATAAAGGGTACACAATTACCTCTGACTTCACTAACTGCATACTTTTTCCAGCACAATGACCAACCAAAAAGCAGAGACAGTCAGGCGACTAGCGTTTTCAGAAGGAGGTCATCAATTGAAGCTTCCATAATTCTTTCAATACACAATTCTTTTAACCCTTCCGT